GGCCTCAAACTCCCAGAGATCTGACTGCCTCTGCCTCCCTAGTTCTGGGATTAAAGGCCTGCGCCACCATTGCCCGGCTTGCTTTGGTTTTTCAAGACAGGATTTCTCTGTGACACCGTGGCTATCCTGGAATTTTTTTCTGTAGACCAGGCTGGCCTCAAACTCACAGATCTGCCTGCCTCTGCCTCACAAGTGCTGGGCTAAAAGACATGTGCCACCACTGCCCAAATGTGACTGAGTTTTTTGAGGGGCCCTGATCATTGGATCATTTTTGTGGTACGATTGAGCATCTTTTGGATATGTTCTCAAAAGGAGTATTACTGGGTCTTGAGGATATTCTGAGAAATCAACACACTGATATCCAAAGGAGATGTTCTTGTGTGCAGTCCCACCAGGATGGAGGAGTGTTCCCTTTACCACACATCCTCTCCAGCTTAAGTTGTCATCAGTGTTTTAGTACTTAGCCATTCTTACAGGTGTAAGATGAAATCCCAGAGTTGTTTTAATTTGCATTTCTCTGATGACTAAGGATGTTGAGCATTTCCTTAAGTGTCTTTCAGTCATATTAGATTCTCTTTTGAGAGTTCTCTCTTTAGGTCAGTATCCTGTTTTTTAAAATTGAATTATTTGTTCCTTTGATGACTGATTTCGTGAGTTCTTTGTATATTTTGGAGATCAGCCCTTTGTCTGATATGGGGTTGGTGAAGCACTTTTCCCATTCTGTAGGCTGTATTTTTGTCTTGTTGACCACGTCCTTTGCTTTACAGAAGCTTCTCAATTTCAGGAGGTCTGTATATTAATTGTTTCTCTCAGTGTCTGTGCTACTGGGGTTATATTTAGGAAGTAGTCTCCTGTGCCAATGCATTCAAGTGTACTTCCCACTTTCTCTTCTATGAAGTTCAGTGAGGTTGGATTCATGTTGAGGTCTTTTATTCATTTGGTCTTGATTTTTGTACATGGTGATAGATATGGGTCTATTTTCATTCCTCTACATGTTGTTATCTAGCTATGTCAGTACCATTTGTTGAATATGCTTTCTTTTTCGATTTTACAGATTTTTTAAATTTTTGTCAAAAATCAAGAATTCATTGAGGTGTGGATTGATATCCAGGTTTTGATTCAGTTTCATTGGCCCTTCTGTCCGTTTTTATGCTAAAATAAGGCTGTTTTCATTACTGTAGCTCTGTAGTAGTAGAGTTTAAAGTCAGGGATTGTGATGCCTCCAAAAGATGCTTTATTGTACAGGATTGTTTTGGCTATTCTGAGTTTTTTTTTTTTCTATATGAAGATGAGTATTGTTCTTTTGAGGTCTGTGAAGAATTTTCATGGGCAGTGCATTGAATCTGTAGTTTGCTTTTGGTAAGATTGCCTTTTTTACTATGTTAATTCTACCTACCCAAGAGCATGGGAGATCTCTCCACTTTCTGTTACCTTCTTCAATTTCTTTCTTCGAAGATTTAAAGTTCTTGTCATACAGGTCTTCCACTTGTTTGGTTAGAGTTACTTTGAGATATTTTGTATTATTTGTGGCTTTCCTAAAGGGTAATGTTTCTCTGGTTTCTTTCTCAGCCCATTTATCATGTATGTACAGGAGGGCTACTGATTCTTTGGAATTAATCTTGTATTCTGCTATATTACTGAAGGTGTTTATGAATGGTAGAAGTTCCTTGGTAGAATTTTTGGAGTAGCTTATATAAACTATCATATCATCAGCAAATAGTAAGAGTTTGACTTCTTTTCCGATTTGTATCATCTCTATCTCCTTTTGTTGTCTTATTGCTTTAGCTATGACCTCAACAACTATATTGAATAAATATGAATAGAGTGAACAACCTTGTTTTGTTCCTGATATCAGTGGGATTGCTTTGACTTTCTCTCCATTTAGTTTGATGATGGCTGTTGGCTTGCTGCATATTGCCTTCATTATGTTTAGGTATGTTCCTTGTATCCCTGCTGTCTCCAAGACCTTTATCATCAAGGGATGATGTATATTCTCAAAGGCTTTTTTCCACATCTAATGAGATGATCATGTGGGTGTTTTTTTCAGTTTGTTTATATGGTGGATTACATTGACAGATTTTCATATGTTGAACCATCCCTGCATCTCTGAGTTAAAACCTACTTGATCATGGTGGATGACTTTTCTGATGTGTTCTTGGATTCCATTTGTCAGTATTTTATTGAATACTTTTGCATCAGTGTTCATGAGTGAGATTGGTGTGTATCCTTTGAATATCAGCTTGGTGATTTCTCAGAAAATTAGGAAAAAACATACCTCAAGACCCAGCAATACCACTTTTGGGTACATACCCAAAGGATGGTGTATCGTACCACAAAAACATGTCCTCATCTATGTTCGTAGCAGCATTGTTTGTCATAGCCAGAACCTGGAAACAACATAAAAGCCCCTTGACTGAAGAATGGATAAGGAGAATGTAGTACATTTGCACAATGAAGTACTACAAAGTGGAAAAAATAATGACATTCTGAAATTTGAGGTCAAATGTATGGATCTGGAAAACATCATATTGAGTGAGGTAACCCAGACCCAGAAAGACAAATATCATATGTACTCACTCATAAGTGGCTTTTAGACATAAATCAAAGAAAACCAGCCTACAATTCACAATCCCATATATAGCACCAGGGTGACATCAGAGAGATGTCATGGAGTCACCACCACCAGAGACAGACGCGCTGAAACTTTGCTGGTAGGCCACAAACTCGTGGTGATGTACAGATTGCTAAATGGGTTAAACTAAGATATCAGAGTTATCCAATAAGAAGTTAGAGTTAATGGGCCACGCAGTGATTTAATTAATACAGTTTCTGTGTGATTATTTCAGGGCTAAACTAGCCGGGCGGCAGGGACAAACAAGCAGGACCTTCCCAACACCCAGAGAACCTAGACAACAAAGAGGACCCTAAGAGAGACATACATGGATCTAATCTACATGGGAAGTAGAAAAAGACAAGATCTTCTGAGTAAAGCGTGGGGACCATAGAAGAGAATAGAAGTAGAGAGGAGAGAAATGGAGGGGAGCAGAGAAAAAGAAAGAGCTAAATAAAAACAATAAAAAAAGAAAGAACATGAGGTAACACTATGGCCACGTGGCAATACATAAATTAGTAGAGTTAATTTAAATGTAAGAACTAGTTAGGAATAAGCCTGAACCATCTTCTAAACATTTATAATTAATCTAAGTCTGAATGGTTATTCAGGAACTGAGAAGCAAGAGAGAAACCTCCATTTACAGTGTACCCCAAGTCCCCTGAAGCAGAGGGTCATCCTGACCCAAGTACAGACTTTCTCCTAAAATGTTCTGTGCATCTTCTCTAGGGGGTGTGTGTGGGCATGCTGGGGTATGAACACGTCCACACACAGCAGTTGTGTAGCAGTTTCCATGCTTCGAGGAAGTTCCTTAAGACAGGAAATAGGCCAGATTCACTGGGTCCCTCCTTCCCCCAGAGAACAGGAACAATTAAGACTGCAAACAGCCACTCCCAGACAAGCCCAGTTGCCCAGCAGGAGCAGAGACCAAGGAAACTGCCTGGAGGAAAGGAAGTTGAGCTGCCTGGAAAAGGCCCCAATGGAACCACCTAGAAATGTCCCTCCCTGACCTGCTGAGCTGCCTGCAGGCTGTGCAGTGGGATCCAGCTTTCCAGCTTTTATGAGCTGTCACCCGTGCTGGAGGAGCCTTTTGGTATTTCAGCTATCTTGGAGTGAGTTTTCCTCCTGCAGATAATCTCTTACCAATATTCCTGAGAGTGATCCCAATAAAATTAGTAGGTTTCACCAGGTTGGATTTGATGGCATTCCTGTTTGGTCTGTTGTTGATTCTCTAGCTGGGTAAGTAGACATTTGCTCACGTCTTCCTGGGAAAAGTCTGTCTCACTGCAGGGCAGGCTCACTTTGGCCTCACAGGTTGGCAGGAGTGAGGGGAAGGCACTCACATGTATCTTGCTTCTGTGTGGGCACAACCACCCCTACCCATCATACCAATGATCAGGGCCCCTCAAAAAACTCAGTCACATTTGGGCAGTGGTGGCACATGTCTTTTAGCCCAGCACTTGTGAGGCAGAGGCAGGCAGATCTGTAAGTTTGAGGCCAGCCTGGTCTACAGAAAAAAATTCCAGGATAGCCACGGTGTCACAGAGAAACCCTGTCTTGAAAAACCAAAGCAAACCAACCAGACAACAGTAAAAACCAAACTCAGCCGCTTATTCTTTTCTTTGTATATTTATTGAGTTTTTCCAACTCCTAATCCTGCTTCCTTGTATTGTAGCCCTGTGGTTGAATTCTGCCCTCGCTTGAAGCAGGACATGAGGATGCTGGGGGAAGGGAGGCATGCAGACTTGTAAGGTCCCTGGCTGAGACTTGACAATAGAGCCAGGGAGGCATAGAGGGCACAAGTGGGGCCCTGAGATGTTGGTTCCCAGTGCACCTGGGGGGTGTCCACCTGCAGTGTTAGGCCACATTCTTCTAGCAAGATCCAGATGGGAGCCTCCTCATGCCAGCTGTTTCCAAATAGTCTGGAGGGTAGGACCACAGAGCTCTGCTTCTGCCATGGGGAGCTCTTTTCCAGGATATGCTCCACCTATCGGCAAGGGACAGAAAGAGGTTGTAGATGGAGGAACTGCAGCCTGAGCCCCTGGGTTGCAGGATTGGATCCTGTCAACCTTTCAGGAAGTACCCAGGGCCCCATGGCATCCCCCATGCCATGTCCTCTAACCAACTAAAGCTGCTTGGACAGCACCATTGTCTCCAGAGTGTTAGCCAGCAGCTGTTGCTGGGTTTCACTCAGCACTGGGGAGAGATGGGGGCTGCTAAGAAGGCTCTGGAATGCCCAATATGGCACCCATCATCCTTTCCTGTCCCCCAGTTGACCGCTCACCAGTCAGTGCTCCCAACAGGTAGAAGATGGAGGCAGCGAATTCCAGCATCAATTTTCCAGAGGAAAGCATCAGACACTTGAGGATGCTACCTGCTGGGCCATCCAGAGGTTCCACCTCTTCACCAATGCACAGGGCCTGTTCCAGCTGAGGCACAGTTTAGGTAAGTGAGGCTGTGCAGGCTTGGGCAGGCCCTGCCCACCTTCAACCCGCTCACTCACTGAGGCCTCCAGGGTTTCCATGTTGGGCTGGTCATGTAAAATCCTCCCAATGTCCATTAGCAGCTGTTGTCTTAACTCCATTTCTAAGTCCCCCAGTTGTGTGCATCCAGCCTTCACTTCTGCATGCAGGCCTTGGAAGTCTTTTCTGACCACCTGTTCCTCATTGATTTCATCTGGAGGGACAAAGGGCTCTCCCAACTTATACCTATGAGGTCTTGGGGAACCCTGGGTAGGTGGGTCAAATCTAGAGATCTGATTCGCAAGCTGTGGAGCCTCAGGGTCGACATGTCGACACTGCGCATAAACTTCCATAGGTTCCAAATGCTTAGGTTGTAGTATAGCAAGCAGGCTAAAGGAACGCTGTCTCTGGTCATACTCTGTAAGACATGAGGATGGGAGAAAGGGGAAGCACTGTTTTGTGTTGGGTCCTAGTGATCACTTACAAATGCCAGAAGGCTGAGATTTTCCCTGGGCCCTCCCAATTCTATCCTTTCCCTACTATTTGCAGCCCAGGGCAGATGAAAGTCTAAACAGGCCCAGCAACATTACCCATTGTGTATGTGAGTCGGGGGGAATGGGGGACTGTCCATCTCCATAGGAGACTGACCACCTCATAGCTAAGGGATGTGTAGGGCCAGAGCGTCTGGGGCCTCACTTGATGGGGGCAGCTCAAAGGTCCTCTTCTTTTCATCAGGGAAGAGAAGGATGTCTGGAAGCAGGAAAAAAAAAAACATTACCAACTCCCTCATCCACAGGGATCCTGGGACCTCGTGAGGGACTGCCCCTATCACCCACATATCAGTCCCTGGCACGCCTGACCACCCTGTCTGGGAGATCATGCAGCCCGATGACACAGCATCTCCTGGCTGGCTGAAGCCTCCCAGATTTTCTGCTTCTCTGACACACAGTCTGGGTTCTAGAGACAGGCCCTCAACACTCACCCCATGTAGGGTCAATGAGCAACTTGGTGACCCGGAATGCAAGGACGCTGCCTGCAGGAATGGTCACCATCTTCTTCCGGCTTAGCTGGCCCCCGCCTTCACCCTGAAGGATGGACATAGGCTCAGGGATGTAGAGTAACTCAATGACTGTGGGTGAGTGCTGGTGACAGATCGCCACTGGTGGTGGCCACTCCAGGCTTTAGCTGTTGTAGCTTACTGGGCCTGTGAAGCTGTAGGTTGTTTCTGGAAGGGTCTTAGAAGAGCCTAGACCAGCTTCTACATGGGATCCTGCTCCCTGGTTCTTAGATTCCTGCCATTTCTATGTGCTCAAGTGAGGCCAGAGAAGGGCTAAGGCTAGCACATACCTTCAAGAAAGCTCCAGGCACTGCAAACTGGCCTAAGCCCTTTTTGCTCTGGATCTGGGTGACCTGCACCTCCTCCTCTGTCTGCAGCACCTCTGTCACCACAAATACATCGTCTCCACGGCTCCGAAGCTGTTGCAGGATTCTGTGTTCCGGCTGCCGCAGGCACCTACAGAGAGATTGCTGGGGCTTGCCCACCATAGACTAGCATCCTTCATACCACCCCGATGACAGGTGTGATGAAAAGACTGCAGAGTCCAGGAGTCTGTGGATACTAGACCTTCCCAGGATGTTCCCACCAGTGTCTAGAAGGTTGTGTGAGTATGACAAAGGCAAACAGGGGGCAGGGAACCCATGTGCCTATGGAGAGACTCTGTTCTTTCCAATTCATAAATCCAAGTCCACTTCACTTTTCTCTCATAGCAGCTCAGCCTGATTCCAAGGCTTTGGGCCCTGCCGAGATATTATGATTCTCAGGATACAGACCTGGCAACTGAAGTTTACTGGCTCAAGTGACCTCCTTCCCAACCTGCCATTGTTTATAGTGCTCCCATCCTCTGGGACTTCCTGTGCTCAGTGCCAAGAGATAATGTTTCAGAACAGAACCCTCCAGATGCCCAGTAGCCAACAGACTGGCCCAAGAGCATGGCGCTCAAGGTCAGAGAGCTTCCATTACTTCAAGGGGCTCACCTCTCATGTTGCAGGACATCCCAGGTGTTCTGAGCCACACGCAGTATTCTCACGTTCACGGAGACATTGCAACTGTTAGACACTGCAGCTGCACCAGAAATCTCTCCATATCCTTTGCCTGCCAGTGCCATCCGGCCCTGGATATTCCCATCAACAACAACAGAGATCCCGAAGTGATCACAGCATTCTGGTTCTGAAGGAAGACCGGCTACAAGGTCATATCACATTAGCCTCCGTCTTGCCTCCTCTGCAGCAGTGGGTCATTTAAAGGACTCCCTCCTCTGGTAACAGGCCCAGAGGGGCAGAACTGTAGATCCCAGTAATAAGGCAGGCTGGGTTTAGCCCACTCCCTTCTAGTCAACCTGGAGGCTCAGGATGGTGAAGAAGGGGGCAGGGAGAGAGATACCTGGTTCTGGAGCATTGGGTTCCAGGATGTCCTTGATTGACAGGTTGACACACCTATAACGGGATTTCCAGAACCACGAGCTTGAGAGTTTCTTGGTCAAGAGGCTATAGGGCCTGAAGCTGGTAGAGTTGCCAAGGCTGTCCACTGGGATGAGCTCTCCTCTGAGGTACACCTCTTTGAGCACGCTCCTAACCACTTCCACAAAGACCGATGGCATGATCCTGAGGGCAGAGAGATGGGTCCATACTTAGCTGCCTCCAGCACTTGGGAACGCCATCCCTTCAAAGTGGCCTTGCCTTACTGGTCCTGGGTCGTTCTGGCTCACCACTATACCAACACAGACACAGCGTTCAGTTTGTGGCCCCCTTGTCTGTCTCTCCCTGGAGCCAGGAGCAAGGGAGAGAAGAGGAGGCAGCCTACAGCAGGCCTATACTATCCACATTATCAATTCCTGTGTGTAGCCCTCGGCCACCTGTTAAGGTCTAGGGCACCTTGTTGCCCTCCTTGACTGAGGACCAAGGCTGGGGAGAGAACACAAGCCTCCACTTCTGGGATACTTGGGGCACAGGAGCCCACAGCAAAGTCAGTGTTCCGGACCTCAGTGGCTTCCTCTCTTTTATGCACAACTTCATGAGCCAAATGTCCTGGAGGAACCTTCCTGGTCAGAGGTCAAAAGAGGTCCAGGACAGACAGACAAACAGTGCAGTGTGGAGGATCAGTCCTACCCTAGAAAACTGGGTTTCTGGGGCCTGCTGATGTTGGAGAGTGAGCCAAGAAGACACTTGAGGGGGAAGGGAAGGTCTTGTTGGCCAGGGGATCAGCATGAGTCCCAGAAACATGGAGAGTTTTTGCCACCTTCAAGCCCAAACCAGGCTGGTCCCACCCTAAGGGCTAGTGGGTGGCTTTCATAGAGGCTAGGCCCTGGAGGGGAGGGTGCGCTCAGGCTGCCTGGTATAGTGGGGCTTCTGGGAAGGGCTTCATCCCTGACCCAACAAACAGACTTCGAGGCCATAGAGCCGACCAAGCAGAAAAGGGGCAGCCGAATTCTAGGAGGCTGAGTAGCAGGGTGGCTCACCTCGGATCTTCAGATCTTCACCTCCACTGAAGTGTCTGGTCCCACCAAGGGAAGTGAGGATGTGCTGGAGACCAGGGAGAGGTCTCAGGGAATCTCTGAAGCTGCAGCCCCAATGTAGCTGGAACCCTCCCTCTGGGAACAGAGGAACAACAGTTTGGCCCAGCCTCTTTCTCATCAGGGGAACCCACCCTGGGCATGGGAAATGCCTCTGCCCCACCTCCTCCACATGTAGGAGCCCCCCGGGGCAAGGGAAAGGCCTCCATTCTCAGTAACTGGGAGCTTCCCTTTCCTGTTGTCCTGGCACTTTTTCTTTCTTAAACATCTGAGCCGTTGTTAGAGATCTGAACAGACATCTTTAGGGAATACACAACTGTGCAGATTGCCCATCAGGCAGTTCATTAGTTATCAGGGAAATGCAAATCAAAACTAGGGAGCATTAAGGCCACTAGGCTGGCTTTCGTCCAAAGAAACTACTAGTGAGAATGTAGAGAAACAAATTTGGGTGTCTGGCAGGCAGAGAGTGCAAAGTGCAGTGGAGCTGGTTTGGAATACATTGGCAGGTTTTTCAAACAGGTGTATGCTTAGTTACCAGGTGACCTAGTGATTGGAGTTTTAGGTGCACATCAAAACTAAGACGTTAGTGAAGAGGGCTGCAGTCTTTGGCTGTGGTTGTCAGTAGTGGAAGCATTTGCTTGAAGATCAAACAAGAGGTTTAACAGATATGTATACACCAATGTTCATGGGAGCTTTTCAAATCTTTTCTTTAGATTTAAAATTTTTTATTTTATGTTTGTAAGTGTTTTGTCTGACTGTATGCACGTGCACCATATATGGGTGCTGGGAACTGAGCCCCAGTCCCCTACAAGAGCAGCAAGAGCAAGAATTGTCTCTCCAGTCCCCAGGGCAGCATTTTAAAGAGTCAAACAGACAACCCTTAAATAACCTGTGGGAGTATGGGCCAGGGAGTGAGCCAGGGAACAAGCCAGCGAGCAGCGTTCCTCCATGGTATTTGCTACAGGTTCCTGCCTGAGTTCCTGTGCTGACTTCCCGCAACGATGAACTGTCAAATAGCAGCCAAAGAACCCTTTCCTTCCCCTGGTTAGAGTGCTTTATTCAGCAACAGGAAGCAAACTCAAGCAGTCTGTGTATGTTGCATGTATATGCGTTTATATCTGTGTGTGTTATATGAGCACGTACATGTTCACTTGCTCATGTGGTTTATGTGTTAGTTTATGTGTTCATGCTTCCATATGAGCATGTGCACGCATGTACATCTGTAAGTATAGATGCATTTGTGTTTATGGGTACACAGTTGCATAGTGCATGTGTTTGAGTCTATCAGTGGGACTTGTGTCAGGCCAGGGCTGCCCACTGCAGGAAGGGACTTCATCTGACCTGCCAGGTCTTCAGTCTCCCCCTGGTTCTTCCAAGCAACCCCAGCCCTCATGAGCCCAGCCCACTCTTCCTCCCTATTTCCATCTTCTCCAGGAGGGCCAGCTCTAGCCCAGGGACAGTGGGAAGCAGTCTCTGTTTGTGCTCTTTGAGACAGGGTCTTTTTGTGTAGTCCTGGCTGTCCTAGAACTCACTATGTAGATCAGGTTGGCCTCAAACTAGATCCTCCTGCCACTATTGCCTGAGTACTGGGATTAAATAAGTGAGCCACCACACCCAGCTGGAAGTGACTTTTTGAGTGCAAAGCAGTCTTTATATTGTGGGTTTTCAGCAGGATGTAATGAACTGTGCTTTTCTTTCTTTCTTTCTTTCTTTCTTTCTTTCTTTCTTTCTTTCTTTCTTTCTTTCTTTCTTTCTTTCTTTCTTTTTTTGACATGATTTCTCTGTGTAGCTTTGCAGCCTGTCCTAGAACTTGCTCTGTAGACCAGGCTGGCCTCGAGCTCACGGAGATCCTCCTACCTCTGCCTTCTGAGTGCTGGGGTTAAAAGTGTGTGCCACCACTGCCTGGTTGCTTTACTTTTGTTTTAATATTTAGTTTTAAAAATGTATTAAAAGCTGTGCAAAGGTGGCACTCACCTTTAATCCTAGCACTCAAAAGGCAGAGACAGTGGATCTCTGTGAGTTGGAGGCCAGCCTGGTGTACAAAATGAGATCCAGGACAGGCTCCAATGCTACAAAGAAACCCTGACTCAATAACAGCAGCAGCAGCAGCAGCAACAACAAATTGTATCCCTCTTGACCTTGACGTATTTTGTGTTCATCATGCACGTGCATGCCTGCACACAGGAACTACAGGGAGTTTGTTGAGATTAGAGGACAACCTTCCAGAGTCGGCCGTGGGGATCAAAGTCACGTCCTCAGGCTTGGGAATAGAGGCCTTTGTTCACTGAACCACCTTGCTGGTCCCTGCTTTACTTTTTTTTAGAAGATCAGTGTTTGGGGAGACAGGACTATCTGAAACATGGAGGCCAGGTAGGTGCCATCCACAGGGAGAACAAAACAGGCTGAGGGCCCCTAGTTCCTCTTGAGGGTCAAGGAGTCTGAAACACATTGCTGCAACTCCCAGACTTCCTCCTTCTGATTAGGTAATGAGGTTCAGGAGGCAATGGGGGTTGACTGTGGCTACCCTGGGCGAGAGCTGGATAGGCTTTTTTATTTCAGAGCCGGGCAAGCCTTTGGGGTTGAAGTGTGACAGGGGCCTAGGAGCCTTGGATCAGGATTCTGAGGAGAGTAGGCAAAGGGTCATTTAGGTGAGGCGAGTCCATATAGGGTTGTGCAAAGAAAAGTAAGCTTATTCCACAGCTGCAGTCTGTCAGGATGGGCACTGGGCCAATAACAGTGAACCTCAGGGACCAACAACCCTGGTCGCGGAGCAGGGACAGGCTGTGGAACACACGACAAGAGGTACACAGGACTAGTCTGGTGGTCAGCATTGGGGTGGGGAGTAAGGAGCATGGTCAAGGCGCATCGACCTGGGGACCTAGGAATTGTGAGGGAGAAGGTGGGGGAGGTGATTCTCTCTTGTTCCCAGGCTTTTGGTTTAGCCTCCTGGAGGCCCTGAGGAAGGGAGGCATCACCTTGGCTTCTCCTCCTGCCCTTAACTGGGTCCCTAGGCAGTACTGTGTGCCTGAAGCGAAGCGGAGCAGACAGAGTCAATGGGAGCAGTGGGATAGGCCAATGCAGAGAGGACGCTGCGAGGGTGTCGCTTCAGATGGGTCGAGAAAGACTGCAAAAGGACCCAGGGTGTTGAGGGAAGGAAGCAGGGAAAGTGACCAGCTGCTTGCCTGCTGGAGTCAGGCAGTGAGGTTGAAGGGGGTTCTTGCGGGGCCCATCTGTAGGTGCCCATTCCTGGCACATCCTTCTGTCTTACTTCTTTTGCAAGGATCAGGTCCCAGTGCCAATGGGATGGGTTGAAAGGACATAGTGCCCTGTGTCTCCACCCCCCACCCCGGACTTTCTCTTAGGTCTTTCTGCCAGACTCTGCTTTGGGAGTAGGACTTGTTTTTCAGCAACTGATAATCTATGAGGCCTGGGACTCAGCAGGTGGAAGGCTGAGGCAGAACATTATGGGGACATGGGAAGGGAAAGGACCCCTTATCTGGAGTTGGATTGAAACCTCTTACCAGCTGAGAAGCAGGATCTAGCATAATGAACATTGCGGTAAAGGCTGCTGACCTAGAGATAACATTCTCATACATAGATACTTTATGTTACAGCAGCACTGCCGGGTCTAAGGCCTGCGTCCGTATGACTTTGGTCAGGGCCTCTATCCTTTCGGTGTTAGTTGTTGAGGGCCACCCTGCAGGAGTCAGACAAGGAGAGTTAACCGCTAGAAGAAATGAGAATGAAAACCCCATGCAGATTGATTTCGTCAGCCTGGATGAGACTTTGGGGAGTCTAATGCCAGGGAGTTCATTGTCAGCATATTTAAAACACAGTACAGGAGTCTGGAAAGATGGCTCAGAAGTTAAAAGCACTGGCTGCTCTTCCAGAGGTCCTGAGGTCAATTCCCAGCAACCACATGGTGGCTCACAACCATCTAAAATAGGATATGTGCCCTCTTCTGACAGACAGGCAGAACACTGTATACATAATAAACAAATCTTCCAAATGGTACAGTTTGGGAAAAGATTTTCAGGAAGCAATCAGTCCAATTCTAGATACACAATAAAGTTTAAGGTATGACTCCACACCTTAAACTTGGTCAATAGCATGGAAGTTAGAGGCTGTAGAGAACGTGTGACTTCTCCCTTAAGGATGGCGAATGGGCTAGGGAGGGAAGAGTCTGGGAAAGCTTTTCTGAGGAATTTGAGTGAGGTCTGCTTCTACAGCAAAAGGTGGGTGAAGTCTGCCCCTTCAGAGAGCAAAAACGTCACCAGGTCATTAACAAAACCCAGTCCCAGCCTTCTAGGTGGGAAAACAAGTATTTAACCTTCTCCATTGAGAAGAGGCCCCTGTGTGTTTAACATTTCTGGTTTGCAGAGTGATCTGTGGGCACAAAGAACCACCTGGTGGCCTTATTTAGGTTTCTTAGCAACTTTTTTTTTTTTTTTTTTTTTTTTTTTTTTTTTTTTTTTGTGTCCCTGATTGTCCTGGAATTTACTCTGTAGACCAGGCTGGCCTTGAACACACAGATCCACCTTCCTCTGCCTCCTGAGTGCTGGAATTAAAGGCGTGCACCACCACCACCCTGCTTCTTAGCAACTTTTTGAAGAAAATTTCAAATCCCACTCAAATCCAATATGATTATTGTAAAACTGTCAGGTACAGCTAGCCCTTGAGGGCCTGCGCCCATACTGCAGTGTCTTTGACTGATTCTTCCTTCAGACCCTCACATGCATGCTCTCCTTGAGCACCCCTCTTTCTGTTAATTCTGGTGCTTAAGCCTATATTAAAAAATATTTTTTTAAAAAAAATATTTATGCCACACGGTGGTGGTGCACGCCTTTAATCCCAGCACTCTGGAGACAGAGACAGGTGGATCTCTGTGAGTTTGAGACCAGCCTGGTTTACAGAGTGAGGTCCTGGACAGAAAAAATGTTTATTATACCCCACCTCTGCTACATATTGGCTAGTCCTAAAATTCTTTAATGCATCAACAGTACAAATCCCCATTTGGGCTAAGTTGAGGTCCCTAAAAGTCCAAGGGAACTCTTTAGGTAGCTGAGGGTGACACTGGGGAGCTATACCACCTGTTTCTGCCCTCACAAAATACTGACAAGTTCACACCATCCTGTTCCCCAGGAGCCGGGTGGAATGCTCTGTCACATGGTCAGGGGTGTCAAATTCAACCTAAATCAGAAATTCTCCAAAGAGGAAAGGTGTCTGTTTGGTGAGTTTATTTTGTTGTTGTTTGTTTGCTTTTTGTTTTTTGAGATTGGGATTCGCTGTGTAGTCCTGTCTATTCTGAAACTCACTAAACACACACAGACACACACACACACACACACAGACACACAGACACAGACACACACACACACACACACATATATACACGAGGCTGGCCTTGAACTCAGATCCACCTGCCTCTGCCTCCAGAGTGCTAGGATAAAGACTTGAGCTACCTCTGCCCAGCTTGGCAAGAATTTGTTTTTTGTATGTTTGTTTGTTTTTTGTTTGTTTTTGAGAGAAAAGGAGAATGTGTATAGGTTGTGTGGACCCAAGGTGACTGGAAGCCCAGGGTGTGACTTGACACAGCAGTTGCTAGAGGTGGCCCTGCTATACTGCACAAGCCATCTTGTCTGAATTACTTCAATAGCAAAAATCCACGTCATGGGCTGGGCCTGCAAAGCACAGGTACGCGTAGAGCAAGCAATCTCTGGCAGGGCTCCTGAGAAAGTCACTGTCCCAGAAACACGGGGCTGAAGCCTTCCTGGGTCTAGTTTTACCTAATCTGAAAGGAGGGAACGCATAACAAAACAAGCAAACCTGAGGTCAGGAGTGGCTCTGTGGGTCTAAGAAGCTTGGCAGTAGTAGAGGCTTCTTTCAGTCACTTCTGGCTCTCCTCTCTACAGGAGGTATAGAGGACCTTTTCCACTGCAGCCAGACATGCCCGGCCAGGAGGCCAGGAAGGGGAGCTGAGGAAGAACCACATCCTGGAAGTGGAAGGGAAAACTTCCCAACCTGAGTGCAGGCTGAGTCCATGGAGGAGGCATTAGACACTCCCTCTCTCCCCCAACTCCCCACCCAGTGCCCTGGTTTTTCAAGACAGGGTTTCTCTGTCTCCTGGCTGTCCTGGAACTCTCTGTAGACCAGGCTGGCCTCAGACTCACATAGATCCTCCTGCCTCTGACTCCCAAGTGCTAGGACTAAAGGCATGCTCCCCCACTGCTAGACCTGGCCTGCATTCTAATTGAAGTGCTGGCTTCAGGCATTGGCTCCAGCTCTGTGCCTGATAGGAATGTCGTGAAGGTTGAACTTGTTAGGCCCAGGGATGCGGCTCAGTGGTGGTGAGCTTGCTGAGCACAGGGTTGGCCAATTTGAAAGCGTTTTTAATTTTTTAAATTTAATATTTATTTATTTATTATGTATATATTAATATGTCTGCATGTTTGTCTGCAGGTCAGAAGAGGGCACCAGACCTCCTTACAGATGGTTGTGAGCCACCATGTGGTTGCTGGGAATTGAACTCAGGACCTTTGGAATAGCAGGCAATGCTCTTAACCACTGAGCCATCTCTCCAGCCCTTTAAATTAATTTTTTGACCTTTATTTTTATGCATATGGGTGTTTTTGCCATGCAGTGCCCATGGAGGCTGGAAGAGGGCATCAGATCACTGGGACTGGATTTGCAGAGGATTATGAGCAGCTCTGTGGGTGCTGGGAATTGAAAAACCAACCAACCAACAAACAACATCCAAAATGTGCCTCTAATTCTGTGAGTTAGTAATTTGGGCAGGGCTCCGCAGAAGTGGTTCATCTCTATTTCCCGAGACATTGTTCCAGTTCTGTGCTCAGAAGGCAAGCTGTGGCTTCACACATATGGCAGATGGTCACCATGGGACATGGGTGCATCAGGATGATCTGCAAGAATTTCAGCATACTGTGGTCTCTCAAATTTGTAGAGCATCTGAGTGCCCAGCATTACACTGAAGTACTCCTTTATCCCTGCTACAACCTCATTGATGGCATACTCCTTATTATCTGTATTTCCTCGAGATTTCTTATAATTTGCATAATCCTCCAAAATGGAATCCACATTCTTCTTAGCGGGAAGATAAAAAAGCTGCTTTTGTCTGGTGATCAAGTCCCAGTCATCAACAAGCCATGGTTTCAGCTCTTCCGGAATCTTTATTTTAACTTCCACTCTGTTCATGAATGTTTCTTCATTTTCAACTGTAGGATCTACCCGGGCTCTCTTCTTCCTAGGAGGCTGAGGTGTCTCACTGGTACGGCTACCATCTCCATTTCCAGGTGTTTTCTGCTTGTTCGTCTTTGTTTTCACTTCAACATTTTTTTCTGCTGCAGACCAGATGTCTTCTTTCCTGGAGCAGCCCCTCTCATCTTGCCATCTGCATATTGTTCCTGATTGGCCTTTTGAAGCTCTCGCTGTTTTTGCAAATTGGTGTCCACATATTTGAGTACTCTGCTTTCTGGAACCCATTCATCCCAATTTTTGTTCCAATCACTGTAATAGATAAAGTATTTCACTTGTTTGTCCTTTATGGCAACCTTTACACACTTTGCTTCATAGAAAAGGGGCCCATGAAAGCACAGCACTTGCTCGCCCTCCTGGAATTTGGGCTTCAGGTCCTGCTTGGGTGCCATTTATAAGTGATTCGCTGCCGCCTCCTCCTTCTCCCACCACCGCCGACTACTGCCCCCTACTCTCTACCCCACCCAACTCAGTGTCAGGAGCGCTGTCGGGAACAGCCAGCTCTACATCCTGGGCTGCCAGAGGACATCTTTATGGAATCAGTTTCTCCTTCCACCAGGCAAATTCTAGGGGCTGAACTGAGGCCACCAGGCTCGACAGTAAGCACTGTACCCACTGAGTCATCTTGCTTGCCCTCTATACATTTTTAGTTATTTTGCTGAAGATATTGTTAAGTATTTTGAACCCCTGGTAATGGATTTCTCCACCGATACAATAAGCCAGATCAGACCGAATAAAAAGCCCAGGTTTAATAAGCAAAGCGTAGGGGGGTGGGGAGGGGAGCAGGGTGGAGAAATCACATGGCAACTCTAGGGCATAGGCAACTCCAGGGAATAGGCAACTCTAGGGCATAGGCAACTCCAGGGAATAGGCAACTCTAGGGCATAGGCAACTCTAAGGCATAGGCAACTCCAGGGAATAGGCAACTCTAAGGCATAGGCAACTCTAGGGCATAGGCAACTCTAAGGCATAGGCAACTCTAGGGCATAGGCAGTTCTAGGGAACATAAATACGCTGTTGGCCCTGTTTTGAGCAATTTCGGGAGAAGAGCTGCTGCTTGGGCAGAAAGGCTGGGGTTTAGAATGGGGGAGTGAAATCAGAGCGGAAATTTCCAACATGTATTTAATTGCTTTGGAGAAAACAATGTTTATGTTTTTTTATTATTTATTTATTATTTATACAGTATTCTGTCTGCGTATTTTGCCTGAACACCAGAAAAGGGCACTAGATCTCATAGTAGATGGTTGTGAGCTACCATGTGGTTGCTGGGGATTGAACTCAGGACCTCTGGAAGAGCAGTCAATGTTCTTTACCTCTGAGCTATCTCTCCAGCCCCTCCAACAATGTTTATGTTTAACTAGAACATTTCCCACTCCCTGCAGGGTTTTTTTTTTGTTGTTGTTATTGTTTGGGTTTTTGTTTGTTTGTTTGTTTGTTTGAGACAGGGTTTCTCTATGGTTTTGGAGCCTGTCCTGGAACTAGCTCTTGTAGACCAGACTCTAACTCACAGAGATCCGCCTGCCTCTGCCTCCCAACCGCCCGGCCTCCCTGCAGTTTTTATATTTGCTGCAGAACCAAATTCCTGTAGTCAGCCTGAAGAAATCTCCTTTATTATTGTGCTGGTCTGTGGTAGCCGGGTTACTAGGAAATCTATGAGGTGAGCTTATGGCTCATCACAGATGGGCAGGATGCCCCCTCTGCTGCCCACTGGTGACAGGTACCCGCTTATCTCAGAACTCTGAGAGTTGGAAAGTTGCAGGCAGTCTGCTATGTGGCGGAGCCCATGATTAGAAAAGGGAGAAATCTCGAACTACAGAATATTCATTAGAAAAAGGCTTTGCATCCTGAACCCATAGGATGGGAATTTGGGAAGAGGATGGGAATTCGGGAAGAAGGCTATATGAGAAGAGTGTGACTATTTTACCTGCCTGGAGTATTAGCTTCTGGATATGTAAGGGCAGGAGTTTCTCACAGCCGGGGCCTTTAAAAACCACTATTTTGGGCAGCAGAGATGGCCAGCGGTTAAGAGCACCAGCTGCTTTCCTAGAAGACCAGTGTTCAATTTCTAGCGCCCACATGGCAGCCCACAATTGCTGCAACTCACTCCCAGACGCCCCAATACTCCTCTGACCTCACTGAGCATCACACATGCATGTGATGCAAATACATAAACAGAGGACAAACACCCATACCGACAAAATTCAAAATTCAGTGAACAAACAACCCCCCAGTGTTTCCCAACAAACCAGTTGGCTGGACATTTCTGCCTTTTCTCTATGCGGACACCCTTTCTGTGTAGAAGCCACTTCCCTTCGCATTATCAGAGCAAGGGTCTTCTCTTCCACTTTTCCAAAGATATTTTTTGAGGGGGAGGGAGTGTTTTTTGTTTTGTTTTGTTTTGTTTTGTTTTGTTTTGTTTTGTTTTGTTTTGTTTTGTTTCTTGTGTCTGAGTGTAGCTGCCAAGATTGCCTGTCTTTGTCTGTCTGTCTTTCTCTTTCTCTCTCCCTCTGTAGCTAATTTTCTCTAGTCTTCACTTCCTGAGTCCTGAAATCCTAGTCTTGAGCCACCAAGCCCAAGGTTTTTTGTTAAATTGTAGCAAACTATTATGTAAGGGAAAAGTTGCAGTTTTAGCTGCTTCCAAATCGATACAATTCTGGGACATTATCTCAGAATGTTGTGTAACCATCACCAGTGTCTCCAAAACATTTTATCCTTCGGAACAGAAACTCTGTATTCTTTTAAGAAATCCCTTGTTCTCTCCCGACCCCAAAGCAATAGCCTGTCTGATCTTTTTCTTTCTTCTTTTTCTTTCTTTTTGTGAGACCCTTTCACTCTGTAGTCCTGATTAGCCCGGAATTCTCTACATAGACTATGCTGGCCCAGACCTCACAGAGGTCTGTCTGCCTCTGCCTCCAGAGCGCTGGATTAAAGGCAGATGCTACTTGCCTTACTTTTCTAGTATGATAAAACACCATGGTCAAGGCCAAAGGGACAGGTATCAGCTCAGGACCCCCAAGATCAACTCCTCAGCACAAAATGAGAGAAATAAAAACAAAGAGGTCAAAATGACCTATTGCTTTGGCTTAAATTGACCATATTACTTAGGCTAAGATGAAAAACACTTCAAGGAGAAAAACAGAGAGTACGTGACAAGGGCCATCTGGCAGAGACTGATAACAGCTGGGATACTGCTGCCACAAGAATAGCCAGAAATTGGCCATTCAGAAACATGTTCATATTATGCTTCATTTACATGCCCCAAGGACAGACTGGAACCAGCCAATCAAAGCCATGCTCATATTCATACTTCATTTGCATAATGACATCAGTCTTTTTTAATTTTGCGCTTTTTTGTAACTCTTTTTTGTTCATGCCTCTTTGTAACTCCTTTTTGTAACTGCTTGCTGTTGTCAATTAGGTCTGAGTATGCAAATTAGGTGAAAACCAGCGGTCCCCTGAGTTTTGCCTATAAAAGTTCCTGCAACCCTAAGAGGGGAGTCCTCCCATCCTCACTGTGTTGACAGTGCGGGATGAGTTCTGTGCCTGTCTCGCATCACACTTTGGAATAAACTTTGCGCTTGCATCCAACCCTCAGATTCTGGTTGTCTCTCTGGGGGTAGAGGGTCTGGGCACAACAAAAGGGGATTTATTTGCCCGAGAGGGACAGAGGGCAGGGAATAAGAGACAAATACAGGGGACAGAGGGCAAGGGAGAAGGGAAAGGGACAAAGAAGAGGGGTAAGGGATATTTGTCCTGGGGGGGGGGGGGCAAAGGATTGCCCCTGGATAGAAAGGAGATAGGCGTGTGGTCACAGGCAAATGGTGGTTTATAAAAGTAAAAACCTCGTGTTAGGATGAGGTGTTGAATTTTAATTGGACATGTTTATTAGGTGAACCAAAGGGGGCTTATGATTTCTGGACTTCAATACTTTGATGTCCTTGCATATGTGAGTAGGTGCTTCATTAGAAGCGTGACTTTGGTAGTCAGTTTCCAGAGGAGGAAGTGACCAAATAAGGGACTAGTCCTTGGTGGCTGGTTAGCTTTAGGAATGTAATCTAATGCTTTTTAGTAAGGCAGAGGGAATGTGGGAGAAGGGCAAGGCCTGCCAGAACCATGTTTGCCGTGCTTGGACTGGCTAGAGCCCCTTCAATGGTGATTTATAATAGAACACGTTTAATTTGGCTTATGGTTTCAGAGGGGTAGCATCCATGATTGCGAAGGACAGCTAAGAGCTCACACCTTGATCTACAATGAGGCTGAGTGAACACTGGGAATCCTGAGTCTTTTGAAACTTCAAAGCTGGCCCTAGTGGCACACCTCTTCCAAGATCACACCCCCGAATCCTTCCCTAACAGTTCTACCAACTAGGGACCAAGTATTCAAATCTATGAGCCCATGGAGGACATTCTCATTCAAACCACCACACCACTCATCCTAGTTAGGGTTCCTATTGCTGTGATGAAACACCATGACCCAAAACAAGTTGGGGAGGAAAGGGTTTATTTGGTTTATACTTCCACATCACAGTCTATCATTAAAAGAAGTCAGGACAGGAACTCAAATAGGGCAGGAACTGATGCAGAGACCATGGAGAAGTGCTGCTTACTGGCTTGCTCAGCAGGCTCTACTTAAAAAAAAAAGATTTTATGGTTCTTTTACATCATGTACCTTAACCCCATTCATTTCCCCATGCCTTCGCACCCACCCTGCACCTCTGCACCCTGCCCGGATAAAATTAGAAAAAATTTAAAAAGGGAAAAACTTAAAATCTTGTCATGGAAGCTGCAGTGGGACACAGTGGTTCATTCCGTGAACCCCTTTGTCCATTTATCTTTACTTGCAAGCGTTCATTTCAAAGAGTCATTGGGGGCTGGATGGTGGAGGCACACACTGTTAATCCCAGCATTCAGGAGTCAGAGGCAGGCAGATCTCTGTGAATTTGAGGCCAGCCTGGTCTATAAAGTGAGTTCTAGGACAGTCAAGGCTGTGACACAGAGAAACCCTGTCTCAAAAAACAAACAAACAAACAAGCAAACAAAAAGTCATTGGTTTGTTTGGAGGTCTCAGGTTTCTACTACCCTATTGATGCTAGGCCTTCACTAGGGCTCCTCCAGGATATCCTATTGCTGCCCTCAGCAGGCTTTCTAATAGAATTTAAGGCCACCAGTCCAAGGATGGCATCACCCACAATGGGCTGGGCCCTCCCCCCATTAATTACTAATTAAGAAAATGCCTTACAGGTTTGTTTACAACCTGATCTTAAGGGGGCACTGTCTTAATTGACATCCTCCTTTCAGATGATTTTAGCTGTGTCAGGGTCAGGCTGACAGAAATCTATCCAGCATAACAAGGTAACAGATTTAATCTACTTTCTCAGTTTTTTTTTTTTTTTTTTTTTTGGCCTGCTTTTTGGCTGGGATGTAGTTTAATTGG